AACTGTTGTGCAAACAATGCAACTCAGCAAATAAACTGAAGCATGTTATTGGGATTTAGGCTAACAGAGCAGTGGTTGTGTCACTGCCTTGCAGCTGGCAGACAACTGGAAATACAAACTCATTTTTTTTGCTCATTTCTTCCACAGAATGTGCATCCTTTCCAAAAAAGGCTCCGAACTCTCATTCTACAGTAAGAGACCATCAGTTATTTTTGGTTTTAAACACTAACAGTATTCACATTCGAAATTATGTAAATGCAAGTGGTAGAAAATAAGCTGCAATCAAGAAAAGACCAATTAAAACTTTTTAAAGTCTGGGGGTGTACATTATTAAAACTTCTCCGAATACACAACTTCGTGACTCAAAGCAATCCCCCTCAAAACCAACAACTTTAAAACTATTTACAGGTAGCTTTGCCTAACACAGGAGAAAGCATTACCATGGTTTTAATTCTCATTCCGCCATGCGTCTGTGGTTCTGTTGATCTACTCCGTGACAGAGCCTTTAAACATCTGAAGGATCGTCTTTTGCTTATTCTTAGGTAGTGAACAAATATCATTTGCATCACTGGTATTAACCACGCAATTCAAAACTTTTCCTCCCTTGATGCTCGGCAATTTCATTCGGACTCTGGCAGGGGACTGCCAGTTTTCATTGCAAGAAGCTTTCCGAGTCTTGCGGTGATTTGTTTCAGCCTGGTTTTTTGATACCTTTGAGTCTTTTGCCGTCTTAGAACTTCCCTTTCTATCAGGAGAGTCTTTCATAGACTGAGGTGGTTTGGTGCGCAGCAGGTACTCATCTGGAGAGCCCTTTTGTCGATTAAGCGTCTTTTCCTCCTTGTTGATCTGTTTTTGTAGCTGCAGAGCCAGAAGCCTGTCCTGCTCCTCTTGCATACGCCTCTCATAGAACTCCTGCTCAAAGGCTTTCTGCATTTGCAAGTTAAAATCATTTATTTGCTCCCCTTGGTCCTCTAAACTCCCTGGAAAAGTTCTTCTCCTCTTATCAAGCACGCACAAGTCAACCATTGCTTCAGCTGGTGGCTCCAGCAACTTTCTTTTTGGAGTCTCCTTAGTGTTCTGCAGTGTCTCTGGTTTGTCTCCCTCTGAGTGTCTAGCCACCTTCGTGAGATCACATATTACACTTTTGCTGTCAGACATCACAGAATTTGTTGCTGACTGAATACAGGTAGAAGTTTCATCAGAGTTTTCAAGGTTTACGCTTTCTACACATGTTAAACTGGCACTGGCTGACTCAACTCCATCATCTTCACCTTTGGACCTATAGAGATTGGTTCTAGACCCTTCGCCTTCTGTGATTCCATGAAGTGCATCTGAAACTTCAGTTCCTAGACAATTTGGTCCTGATGTTTCTTTCTGCTTGACAGCAGCAGTTTCACCCAAAGCTGAGGCACTGAAATAGTTCATGCATGATTCCAAAAATGAATCCTTACTGGAATCTTTAATCACACTGGTCAGCTGTGGAGACAGTGTTGGCATTTCCTCTTGCTCGTCTTCCCACGCAGAACTGCTGCCTTCCTTGCTATTGGTCTCCTGAAGAAAAGGGAGAGACCACTAATAAAGTCAATTTATCAAAAGCCAATGGGTAGGAATAAAATTCAAATCTCACTTCTCATAGCTGCATGGCTCATAACTACTCTGGGATACTAACTTTGATTCTTCTCTTAAAAAAAATACATAATTGTGTAATAATAATGAAAATATTTAAAACAACCTACAGAAGCCTAGCTAAAGGATTGAAAACATAACTGCAGCATTCTCCTCTTACATGAATGACTCAAATCAACTGTTCAAGGTATTAGCCTGCTCATTCTCTTTTGAAGCCTAACAGGAAAGACACACAGAATGATGAAAATCAGAGAGCAACCTCCTCCAGGGAGCTCCAGAATCATCACTTTAGTTTTACACACCATCGGTTGCAACCCAAAGCTCACTGAAGATGTTCACATAATGTACTTGTAAGGTTATATAAGGTAACTATGAAAGTAAACCATAGGTGTGCATCTGGGGACGGTCCAGCATGGTTTCTTCCCTTCTCACTTTGGGGAATCATGAACACTCCAGGTAGTTCTAAAAGGGCAAGATAAATTAGCCAGTGCTGATGTGCAAGGGACTGGCAATCCTATAGGGGATTCCCAAGGGGAACGTAATTCCCAACACTGAGATCTGTAACAAAATTATTCTACTTACGGCAGAGCCAGAGTCACTCCTGCCTCCTTCTGTTGTTCTAGAGAATGATGCTGATCCCAATGTATGGTGAAGCTTTGGAGACAGATACCTTAAAGGAAAAAAAACTCTTTTTTTTTCCTTGAATTGTCAGTCCTTTGCATTAATCAAGATCCTCAGGTTCATTCTGACAAACAAAAGCAAGAGAAGGGGAAGTGTTTCCCTTCTCCTGTGAAGAGTTGTTTTAACATTCAACAGTTTACATTTGCCCCAGATTATCCAGGGAAGTTGGACTACAGGATTCCAAGGAAGCAAAAGGAGCAGAGGGACACTATACCAAGAAACAGACCAATAATTCAAGAACTTGAATTACTTACTTCTGAATGTCTCCAGAGTTTCTTGGTTTGTTCTTCACCTTGCACAAATTAGCTGGGGATGTTTCAGGTGAAAGACTGCCTCCTGGTGAAGGACTGCTGAGCGTATGTCCTTTGGAATCGTCATTCTTCGATGACAAGTAAAAAAAAGCATTATATAAACCAAAACACAACACAACCTGGAGAAAATCCAGAGAACTGCTTTGTTTCTGCTGCAGAATTAGTTACTTTTGTCCAAAGAATGACAGAACTGTAGGTAATGGATAGTTATGGAATAAGAAATGTGAAATGTGCTGCACACTTTCCTGTACCTGGCATTAAGGAATAAGTGGTTTTGCTCAAATAAGCACACAGGTTTCATCATTAGGACCAACCAACCAAAACCCCAAAACAAATTAACAAAACAAACAAGCCCCAAAACATAAGGTAAACTTTCATCGTACCTTCGTTTTTTTTCAGTACAGGTTATAGACATCAATTTCTTTCAAATAATTATTTTTAAAATCATGGGGAAAAGGAGGCATTCAGAAGAAAACCAGTGTTTTAAAATGTTTCACAATTAAAACATCCAGCACACATTTCACGTACACATTACACAGGTAGAAATGTTTGGGGTATTTCACCCTCCCACTGGTTCTTCGAAAATTGATATAGTAATCAAGGATCTGGGGGCTGACAACAGCTTCCAACTACAACTAAAATACATCTAAATTATTTAAAATTTTAACTCTTGATCTGAAAAGTCTAAGTAGCTTGTACTATAGCAGTGTTTTCTACTGTCCCTCTTGATCCTAACTCACCAGACTGTTGCTCAGCTGCCAGGCCAACTCTTCATCTTCCTTCAGCTGTTTCTCCATCTCCTTCCGCCTCTCTTCTGCCAATCTGTGTTCCTCCTCCTCTTCTGCTAGAAGCCGTTGAATGTATTCCTCACTTGCCTTGTTCTCCTCTTGTTCATGAGCTCGCCTTTCTGCCTCCACCTAAAAAAAGGGGTTTTTTAACAGTTGCTACTGTAGGATAACACTTTACACCAGAACCTCTCAGCTGACGCTTCTTAAATGTGAACGATCCACTATTCACAAAGACACTCTGCACATTTCAAAGCCAGTATTTAACTGCACAACTCTCCAAAGATTTGAGAATCAAACTGACACTGTGTGTAGAATCTTCCGTTTGATAACAGTGCCCTACTTTTTGGTTTCTGTAAGACTATACCATTAACTGTGCCAGCATGCCAGGTTACAATTCGTTTACTCACCTTTTGAAAACGTCAGTAAAAAACTCTAAGATCCCCAAATGCACGGATCACAAAGAAACTCAAATCAAGAATCTTTAGAAGGCTGGATCTAGCTAGACCACAGCGTTTGCGCAACCTGCTTATATCATCGTAATGTCAATATTAGCACAAGATGCCTAAAAGACAGCACATCTCTCTTCCAAGTCCTTCTGCTCTCTGGAAACACACAAACCCCAAATCATCAGACCAAGAATTTTAAATCTGCCTTCTTTATGTCAGACACCTACTCTTGGTAAATCAGTTATCAGTAACTCCACAAGGACAGCAAAGTACTTCAAGAACGAATAAAGCCTTCTTAACTGGGTAAGGGAATTTGGAAACATGCTTTAGAGAAGAGCATCACACTGTAATACTACACGAGCTCTGCTAAGTCTGAGTTTGTTTCAAATCATGTATCGATGACTTATGATTGGCACCTGACACCCTCACATATTTCACTGGCACCATCTCCACAACCATCAATACTATTGCTGCCAATCAATCTTATCCCATAACTACCATAAAAGAGAATCCCACAGACCTCTGCTTCATGTCCTCCCCCTGCCCTTAAAACAACCAGCAACAGGGCTGTCAGCATTCTGATACTACTTCCAACTATCATTCTTACTAGTACCCTGTCTGAATTGGAGGAAGATCCTTCAGATCCTTAGACAAACATTAAGATTTCTTAAAAATATTTTCTGATTTTCAAATGAACACAGATAACACAGGAAGTGAGCAAACAGGAAAGCAAATGCTGCATGTTCATTACCCAAGTTAATCTAATTGTGGTGTGTTACTTAGGGAGGGAAATCAGGAAGGCAAGTACAAGACCAAAGACAAAACAATTCCAAATTTTTACATTTGCTAGTCTGAAATACTTTATGTGCAATCTGAGGACCTAAAAAAGGCATTTCAGTATGTGTGGGCCGGGATGCCAACAGTGAAAGGCAACACTGTAACCCTAAAAGAACTCTTCTGCAGAGTTTTGGGAAACACGAGGTATGGACTACCAGAGACCTGCCTTGGCGTTTGGCTGTGTGCCTCTGTGTGTTTCCCTGCCTGCAAAGCATGCCTCCTTGCAGGGACAAGACAGCAATATGTTACTGGGCCGATGGAAAGGGTGAGGATAGATCAACTAGCGCAAGAAAATGTCGCTTGTGTCAAACACAAGGAAGTCTCTCCTCTTCCATAAAGGATAAAAATTTAATCCATGCTTCAGGAATGACCAGCGTGCTCTTGCAGCAGCAATGCCTTTGTAAGTATCTTTTTTTTTGTTAAATAACATTACAACTGTTTGTGGGAACAAACAAAATAACTAGATACAAAACATTTATGCTTTTAAATATATTTTTAGACTTACCTTGCTAATCTCTGCTTCATATTCCTGCCTCAGTTCCCCAGGCTTGCTCAGCTGGTGTTGTGGCTGGGGGACACAGACTAAATGAGAGGAAGGAAAAAAATAAGTGAGGAAAAAAGCAAGATCATGACATTCAGCAACAGAAGATTTTAACAAAAGATCACTTCCGTACCCTGTCACAGGAATGATTTGACTTAAATCAAGTGCTGTGAAAAGAAAGCACTTTGTGTTATAGGGGAACCAGACAAAGCAGCACTGTGTTACAGAGTGGCAAGGTCAGGGTTTTCCAAGCACTGTACAGAAAGCAAATCTGTACGCTGACAATAATGTCTTTTGCTTTTTGCGATCAAAAAGACTTCATAATACTGCAAGCGGAGCAACATATCATAGACCCAACCTAACAACTAGCCCCCGCCAAGGGAGCTTGCAACATAATAAAGCCAAAAATCCTTTTTCAAAGAGTTAATCAGATTTCACTTCCTCTTCTCTGACATAACAATTTTAGGCTGAGACTCCTGCACAGACTGACACCCAGGCATTTCTAACCGAACTAATTAACAGCATCTAAGAGTTGAAAAGCTTTTAACCACTTCACTTACTTGACAGGGATAAACAAACACATAAACACACACAAATATGCCATTTACAGATTTTACAGCTGAAGCTGTATCAGCGATGAATTACGGCCTCTGCAAGGCTAGGCAGCCATATGCCAATGCTTTGTCCAAACACATGCACAAATATCCACTTAAATGCTCGGACAATATCATTTGCCCTCTGTACTACCAACAAAAAAGGCACAGGCGAACAGTTCTCTGCCTTCCAAGCCCCTTTCACAGGAGAGCTCTGACACTGCATTTTCTAGCGGTAAACCAGCCTGTCTGTGCCCAGTTTCTTATTTCACAACATCCAAAGTCCTCCAACAGTCATTACTTTGGTAAAACAGAGACATGCCAGGTCAAGTAACGTTTTACTTACTTTCCTCTTCCAAATCCTGTCCGTTAATTCTACGCTCACACTCCTTTGGGTAATTCTTCTGAATCTTTTCCCAGAGTTCCCAGTTGACAAGAGTATTTCTGCGGGCATTGTATCTTGCCCAGGAAGAGACTCGACGCCGACAAAAAGGGCAACAAAGACTGGCCTTCTCAACGGTCAGCTGGAAACAAGAATTACAGAGCGTATGGTTGCATGGCAGCGTCACAGGCTCCACAAAGATCTCCATGCAAATTTGGCAGAGGCAGTCAGACAAGGAAAGCGGAGCCTCCAATTTCTTCGACATACTGACTTGAAGTAGAAGAACAAGACTAGTACAACATCAGTACCTGAAAGCAAAAAGAAACAGGTATTTTACTTCCCATAACGAATATAAAAGAAAATAGAAAATGCTTAATTTTACGGCTACTTTACAAAAACATTAGTGGATTTAAGAAGTCTGCTTAAGTGGCTACATTCGCTCATGATCTGAGAGATTCTCAACTTTTCAGAGAAAGTGTATCAGGTTTTCCTACTGCAGTTTCCAGTGAGTTGTAACAGGTGCTTTGGGGATAGTGAGGAGGTCGTTAAGGAGAACAGGGAAAGAAGGTGAGGGTTCTTCCAGCATTTACTCTCTGTTCCTGATAAGCTATCCTCACATTTGGTGGACATGTTATCACAGTTACCTTAACCCCCCAGTCAGTCAATTTTTCAGTATACGGGCATCCTTCACAAGCTGCTTCTGGTACAGACTTGGTTCCAGCATGTTCTGAAGGTGAAATACAACATCCCTATGCACCAGAGAAGAGGAGGTTCTTCCTTGTTCATTCATTTGCTTATAGCTGGGACTAAAAAGTCAAAATAACAGTATAAGCAAAGAACCAACCAATGCGTTCAACACTTCAGCATCTTCTTGTATGCCTCAAAATGTCAGGGATCATCCAGCCTATTCCCAACCCTCCTCACTGGATTTTTCCACCTGGCGCAGAAATGCTTCGAAACAGAAAATAAGACACATACAGCAAGAAGGATAAACATACCGGGTTTTAAGTTACAGGAAGTTCTTACGAACTTCTTACAAACAGCCAGCTCCAGAGACAGAAGGTCCTTCTGGGGAGAAAGGCTCCAATTTCAGTCACACAGGAACTCGCCATGGAGACAAACACGCTTTCAGTTGGGTTTTATTGCTTCTGCTCTCCCTTTGTCGATAAAACACAGCCTCTAATTTTTTTTCTTTTTTTTTTTTTTAAGAAAAGGATGCCAGATAACACAGAAACACACGGTTTTACAGTCGCTTTGTTAAAAAGACTTTGTGAGCCCGCCTAGACCCGCTCTGCACTAATTTCAATTCGTATAAAGAAGCCAAACCAACACTCACGGGAGCCGCC